AGATGAATTAACCACACAATTGTGCACCCATGAAAGAGAATTAAGGAAAGATCCAAATTTTTTAGAAACTTTAGATCAGGAAGCATTGATAGCAAATCCGGAATTTAAGCGGAAATCATCTATTAACAAGAAAAACAATGGCAAGTGTAATTATTGCCACCAGAGAGGACATTGGGTCAGAACATGCAAGAAATGGATAGCTGATGGAAAACCGCCGAAACCCAGTCCACATATAGGGCCAAACAAGGGAAGTAAAAACAGTGTTGCTGCAAATATGACACTTCTAGCTGTAGATGATACAATATTTTCTGCAGAAACGAATTCTGATGATTGGTTTATTGATAATGGGGCCTCGAAGCATGTCGTCAATAACAGGCACTACTTTATAGACTTCAAAAGATTTAAGCTTCCTCATAGCATCACTGTGGCAAATGGAAAGTCATTACCAGCAATTGGAAAAGGCACCATCAAGATAATGACCATTGTAAATGGGATGAATCAAATCAAAAATCTTGAAAATGTCTGGTATGTTCCAGAAATAAGTAAAAATCTATTTTCTGTGTTAGCATCTCAAGATAGAAATCAAAACAGTGTATTTTGAATCAACATTTAAGGACTGTGCTATTTAAAAATAGATGGTGAAATAGTTCTGCATGGAACAAGAAATGCTGGCAGGGGTCTCTTCAAAGCCGTGATGAAGACCTTAGTTCCTGAAACTCACATTGACATCAACATGACTGAGAATAATGAATCAACTCTCCAACTTTATCATGAATGATGGGGTCACCAAGATAAAAAGCATGTAAAGGCCATTGTAGAGAAAGAGTTGAATATTAAGATTAAGTCTGATATGAAATTATGTGAAGCTTGTGTATACGGAAAATTCCACCTTTTAAAGTTTGGAACCAGGAAAGTGGTTACAAAAGCTGGAGAATTGTTCTCGACAGATATTTGTGGGCCATTTGATCAGTCATTTAGGAAATACCGTTACTTTGCAATCTTCAAAGATGCCTACACCAAATTTCGATACTGCACAAATCAGAAGTAAAAGATGTGCTTGGAAATTTCATAGCTCATGCTAAGAACTTAGGGCATACGGTTAAAGAAATACTCAGTGACAATGGAGGAGAATTTGACAACCAAGCCGTTCGCAAGATCTTGAACAAGCATGGAATCTCCCAGAGGCTCAGAGCTCCATATACACCAGAACAAAATGGCAGTTCTGAACGAGAGAACAGAACAGTCCTAGAAATGGCCAGAACTCTCAAATACTCGAATGAGGAAGTGGACTTTCCAGCTTTCCTATGGGCAGAGTTCGTCAGTACTTCAATTTATATATTGAATAGGACAGGCAAGTCTTCAGTTCCTAATTCAAGCACCTTATGAATTATGGATGGGAAAGAAACCCAGAATAAAACACATGCGCATCATTGGATCGACTTGCTATACTCATATCCCAGTTCAGAAGAGGAGAAAGATGGACAAAAGGGCAACTAAAGGCTATCTCCTTGGGTATGATGGAGATGAAAGGTACCGCATTTACATCAAAGAAACCAGTACAGTAATCTGTTCCCGAGATGTCATATTTGAAGAGAAACCTTCCATGACTGGAAACATTATAACATTGCACCCACAACAAGTTTCTGGAAGAAATTCATCTCAAGATGATGAAGTTGAAAATAAAGTAATAGACGAAGGCCCTCAACAGGAAAAGAAGGAGGTGGAGGATATACCAGAAAAGGAGACTCGACCCAGAAGACAAATTTCAGCGCCTAAGTGGACAAAGGATTATATCGTGGAAAATTCAGAGATTTATGAAGAAAATCCTCCAGAAATAAATGGAATTACAAGTGGAATGCAGTGCAGCTGACAATCTGAGAAACAGAAATATGAAGGCTCAACACCCAAGAAAGTTTTTTAGAATGATCCTGAAACTTTAGAAGAGGCATTAACTAGTCCAGATGCAGAAAAATGGAAGTTAGCCATGGAAGAAGAGTTGGAAAATTTAAAACAAAATGAAACTTGGGACATAGTGCCTAGGCCAGAGGGAAGGAAAGTTGTGAAATGAAATGTAAGTGGGTCTTCAAGAGAAAAACTTAACAAAGATGGACAAGTGGAAAGATATAAAGCTCGTTTAGTTGCTCGTGGCTACACCCAAGTCGAAGGAATTGACTACAAAGAGACGTTTTCTCCTGTAATAAAAACAAAATCAATTAGAACTTTATTAGCATTCTCAGTTGAGCAAGACTGGCAGGTTCATCAACTTGATATTACTGCAGCCTATTTAAATGGAAGACTGAGTGAGATAATTTTCATGGAACAGCCACCCGTGAGTCTGCATGAGAAAACACAGAAAAGTTTGCTTGCTAAAGAGAAGTCTTTATGGACTTCATCAGTCTGGGAGAGAATGGAATATGTGCCTCGATAAATTTCTGAAATCAACGAGCCTAACAAGATCCAGAGCAGATCCTTGTGTTTACTTCAATAAAGAAAAGAAGTTAATTGTAGATGTGTATGTAGATGATCTTCTTGTAATGTCCAGCAAAGAATTCATCATTCAGGAATTTAAGGATAATATTGCAGCTACATTTAAAATCAAGGACTTGGGAGAAATACATCACCTTCTTTCAATTAGAATAAGCAGAAGGGAAGATAGCTGTGTGACTCTTGACCAAAGTGTCTATGCTAGTGAACTCTTGGAAACAACCAATATGCAAGATGCTAAAGGAGCATCAACACCATTAGATCCAGGTATGAAATATACAACAGCCACTAAGGATAACATGTTGAATGCTGAAGGAGCATTAAAATATAGGCAGGCTGTTGGAGGGCTCTTGTACCTAGCAGGAGGAACAAGGCCAGATTTAGCTTTTGCTACTACTTACATGAGCCAATTCAATAATTGCCCAAGCAAGGAACATTGGGCTGGTGTACAACATATCCTTCGTTACCTAAAACAGACCAAGGAATTAAAGCTGACTTTCCAAAAGACAGGAAAGAATTTGGAAGTGTTTTGTGATTCTGATTGGGCTGGTGATAAGATTGACAGACGATCATTTAGTGGCTATGTGGTGCTACTAGCAGGTGGAGCTGTCTCATGGAGCAGTAAGAAACAACAGACGACTGCATTGTCAACAGTTGAAGCTGAGTACCTCTCAATGTGCCACGCAGCCAAGGAAGTACTGTGGTTCCAAAATTTTTTTAAAGAAATTGTGGGAGAACATTTTTTAAACTTTCCACAAAGCATATTTGTTGATAATCAGGGTGCCATTTCTTTAGCCAAAAACCATGTCACTTCAGAGCGTAACAAACATATTGAACTCAGGCATTTTTTCTTGAGAGAAAAGGTTGAAGAGAAGTTGTTAAACTTTACGTATGTGCCTTCCAGTTCAAATGCAGCAGACATGTTCACAAAGAGTGTGCAAAAGAAAGCCTTGTTCAATCAAAGGTTCTGTGTAGGACTGAGGGAAATTTAATCAAGGGGGAGTGTTGCAAATAACTTTTATTTGTGATTATATTTCCCATTTGTATTTTACAACATGTGTGGCAACACACTTTTTATATTTTTCTCTTGGCAACGTTTTTTTAGTTGTTGTCACTGTTTTACTTTATCATGTAGAATTTACTGTACTTGTGCCATTTTGTGTTTCAATATATGTTAATTTGGATGAATCTCTGCTTATTTATTTGTCTCCATTCCTAACGTTAGACTTCTTTAATAACAGAGTATAAATTTTAATGAAAAATAGCCACCAACAGATAGTAGTTGAATGGTGAAAAAGTGATCATTTTAAAATCACCTATAAATGGGTTAGAGATCTCTGTTCATTATCAAGAACTATCTTTATAATGCTGGAGTATTACTTAGCTAGGTTTTCATGAGGCAAGAATAAAGGGCAAGAATAAGATGGGCAAGAAGATTTCAAAGGGCAAGAATAAGATGGGGCAAGGAACATTAAAGTCTTAAATTTAGTATATGATCTTTTCACTGACAAGTTTAAATTATTCTCTTTGAAACTGATGCATCTATTATCTTATATTGGTTTGAGATCTATTCAGTAATTTTATATCTTATGTGAAGCATGGAAAAGGACATGTGAGGATTTAGAGATGTTTCTGTACTTGTGAAATATGTTATTTGTTAGAGATAAAAGGTTGTGTGGATATAGTAGCTTTTCAGAGAATAAAAGAAGACTCTGTTGCTTTTACTTCCTCAGTTATTGGATGTATGATAGAAATAGAATTACTAGAAAATATTATGGTTTGTTAATTTAATTTTAGTGGCTAGGATTACCCATAATATATCATCCTAACTCATCAAGAACTCTTTGAAGATCATAGGACAATAAAAATGAAATAGTCTAATCAGTTGTTAGATTTTAACTTGATTTAGCATTTACTAGAAGTATTAGATAAGATGACAGTGGGACTTAAAAAGAGCAAGCAAAGGTGAAATTCTTTAAAAATTACAATAGCAGTCAACTGCTATTCATCAAATCTTCTGAAGATCTAACCTCCATGCCTCAATATTGTCAAACTGTAATTCATGTAAACGGTTTTGTGACTGAATACTAATTCAGCAAAAAATTGTTTAACTTATCTGTTTTTGTAAGATGTATTATTTTTTAATACTTTAATAACATATATGCATACTGATAATATTTTGTTTGATTGCAAACGGATATAAATTTCAAAATATGCACATTATGGTAATCTAATTTGTTAATTCCATTTTTTTCCATTAGTTTATGTGTGAAAATCGTAGCATTTAATTTTTTTCTCAAAAGTAAAGTTCTAGAAATATTTTTTTAGTTTTTCTATGCATGTGTACTTTTTTCTTTCTTTGTTTTCTTTGTGTGTGGGGGGGGGGGATTAAAAATTAGCAATTTAATAAAGAGACTTGAAAGAAATAACATAAATGTTTTAAGGTCATTTTGTTAAAAATTAAATTTAAACTTTTCTGTAAGAAAATAATATTCTAAAAAACTTCTTTTTCATAGGATGGAGAGGCACATCTTCAGGTTTTTAAGCAACTGATCCAGTCTGTTTTAGACCTGCATCAGTCTCTTGCCAATGAACAATTCAAAGCATTTTTGCCAGTATTTTTTCCTGGTATTCAGTTTTTAGTAGCTTATGCTTCAGACAGGGAACTTCGATTAGCAATATCTGAGTGGTTACAGAGACTTGCTGTGTGTTGTAATTTTCACGTATGACTTGAAGGAAATGTAGAAATCTCATTGGAAAGTGATCTTTTTAATGTTTTATTTGTGGATGTAGGTTTTATTACTATGTGATGCTTTTTATTGAAGGATATTGATTTTTATGAATAGAGTCATTGGAATGTGTCTAATGCTATACAAACATGTAACATTGTATGTCCAGTATTTTATTTGCAGTTATCAATGTTGCTTTCATTACACATCAGATTGCTAAGCTTAAACTGAAGTATATTGTTTAAAATTTTAATAGATGTGGTCATGTTAACGAATCGAATGAAACATCTTTTTTTTAAATCTAATTTGTATGTGTTTTGTTATCGAGCCTATTTCAGTTCATTATGTTATTTTTGTGGTAAATTACATTGAATTTCATTTCACTGAATACAAGTTAAAAGTACACAAACTCTAAACAAGCCACAAAATAGAGCTTTCAATTTTATTATGTTTGATTTTAATACACAGCAAAAGATACCTAGTCAAAAATTTTTTAATGTAATAGAATTTTCCTTTGTGTGTGTGTGTGTGGTTTTTTTTTTTTTTTTTTTTTTTTCCCTTGTGTGTGTGTGTGGGAAGAAGGGGCTGATTGTTTTTATCTTTTAATTACGATGATCAGAAAAATTTAATATTTTTTTTCTTAATGTGGTGTCAGAAATCAGTGATATAAATTATGTGAAAATTCAGCTAGATACAACAAGTGTGGTAATTCTGCAAAAGGCTGATAACATGTAACTGTAGATTACAGAAAAAAAAAGTTATAAATTCATTCATAACTGGAAGTTTCCAATAGATTGTTATATTATATTATAACAATTATATAATATAATATTGTAATATTATACAAATTGTTCCTGATATATTATTTTATGATGATTATGGGTTATATATATATAAATTATGTATGCACGATATGGGCACCATGTGTTGAGAAGCAATATTGAACCATGACTATCTTTAACAATGTCCTAAGAAATTTTATTCTTTTTCTAGTAAAACAAACTTGTATTAAATCTTTTCAGTTAGTGGTAGTAACATGCAAAAAAACAACAGATCAACATTGTTTACAATTAAGTTATAGTTTTACCATTTAAGGTATTTCATCTCAATATGTTTAATGTTTTAAAAAAACAGCTGGAGTAAAAAACTTAGTATTTGAATATGAAATCTATTCCCAGTCTTTAATGGCAAAGCATAATTCTGTGGGAATATGAGAAAGAACAGAGAAAGAAAATTCTAAATGAAGTGCTAATAGTAAAGCTATTATTTCTCTTGTAATCGATTTTTATTTTATGTATCAAGTTTTTTGTTTTTGAGGAGATTTTTTTTAATAAGAATCTCAATGCATGTTTGTTTTTAAATTCCCATGAAATTGCACTGCATATCTTCCATGAAATTATCAAGCATATGTATTAGTAATTTCCAGATTATTAAAATAAACTAAACTAAATTAAATGATAAAATTTTTATGTGATATTTTTAGGTATACGAATTCTTGTTAGCATACTTACATGAATATTTGTTAACTCTGTTGTGAGTACTTTTTATTTGCACTAAATAGTGTCTAATAATACATTCTAAAAATCTTTGAAATTGTGTATCTAGTGTAGTAACATTCTGATTCATATAACATGACCTTGCCCCAAATCAAAGCTTAAATATTAGGTTATTTTTTTATTACTTTATTTTTTATATCAATGTTTCTAGTTATATGCTTTTGATGTTTAATATATATATAATTGCTTCCATGACCTGCCTTATAGCCCAAGAAACCCAACAGAACAGCTCAAGACTAGCCTATGCCAGGATAGTCACGAATGGCTTTCAAATGTAAATAATATCATTTCATATACGAGAATATTTACAGCTTTTACACTACAATAGATTGTCAGGTATTATAAAAGAAAAAAATAATTTAAATAATTATAAAAGAATAAAAATAGTAAGCCAGAATAGTCCATGCTGGATATTATAAAATAATTAAAACAATTATCTTGAGGAATATACAATAGATTAATGTCAGGTATTATAAAAGAGTGTAATTACTATTCCAGTCAATAAGCCATAATGGGCCATGCCTGATATTATAAAATAGTCACAGTGAGCATTGTCAGTAGCTGCATTAACATTTGGATGGCAGTAAAGTTTCAAAAGTTTTCATTGAAAAAGAGAGGAAGTAGGATGCTACTTCATTCCTATTTCAGTTGGCATTGCAAATGGAAACCTGCTCATCTGAAACTTTGTAATGGATGGGTGGATTTTCTTCACATTATCCTAAAATGTTTTGCATATTGATATATTGTTTATATATTTCTTAAAGTATGTTTTAAGAAATATTCAAAATTTGTATTTGGGCTGTTTTGTCAGGCTGTTTTAGATAAAGGCTATTTGGGCTGTTTCTTCAGGACTGTTTGTCTTGGGCTAATTTGATGTATGTGGTGCTGTGTAAAAGCTGTATATATTCACATATATTATTAAACAATAATTATTTACAAGCCACTTTTTTTCAGGGCTATTTTGGCATGGGCTATTTAAATCTTGAGCTGTTCTATCAGAGCACTTATGGCTTGAGCTATTTTGATGAGGTATCAATGAGGAATCAGTTGCTTGGTATCTTATTCAGTTAGATAAATATGCACTTTTATAATGACACAATAAAATGATACAATGTGGTTGAAAAATTTTTTAATATATTTAAAGGAATTCAAACTAAAACACTGAAACTAAACAATGAAGCTTTCAAACTAAAACATATGATACATAGCTGTTAATTGGGGTGTGCAGTAGAAACAAAATTAGAGAATTCATTAGTATCTACTACATAATCATAGTCAGAATTAATGATAATACTACTATCATTTTTGTCAAAATCTGAGTAAAATATTTTTGACAGTTTTGCAAAAGTAATAATTAAATCAATCTAGATGTGTATTGGCATTATGCCATTTTTATGTTTCCGATTTGCATTCAAAATAAGAGATACATTCTTTTATTAGTAATATTTTCCCAATGATTGATCATTTATTTTGGTTCTTCAATACACATATAGTTGATCTTAAATTAATTTTTCTCAAAGTAAATGCCTTTTATTTTCATATATGCGTATATTTAGTTATGTTTAATACTTACATATTGCATTTTAGTTTTTGTGTTAATATAACAAGAATTTCTATTCTATTAACGTTTCTTAAAAAAAAAAAAAAAAAAAAAAAAAAAAAAAAAAAAAAAAATTGTTATTTCATTGAAGAATATTATTCTGATACAGATAGTAATTCTAAGGCTGTCTTATTAAAGGATATAGGTGTGTAGGATGATATAATTTTTAAAGAACTCATGTACAGTATAATATTTTTGTTTAATTTACTATTAAGTATTTTTTTTTACCTAAGGGTGAAAAAACAAACTTTCTGAGAGCTGAAACTTACTTCATCATGCCATAATTATTATAATTAATATAAATGTAATATTTAGAGGTAGAAGAAATCCTAAATTTTCTCAAATCTGTATTCTCATAGGTTTGCAAGCTTTTCAAATCTCAGATCTTTTCTCACACAATAAAAACAGGAAAGAAATAACCTGTACTTGACATTAAAAGTTTTGATGACTCAAAATTTGAAATCTCCATTTAATGAAAAATAAATTTAAGAATGCAGTTTTTAAAAATACACCTGTGTTTATTAAAAAGATGCAAACGAAGTTTAATCAACCCTTACACATAAATAAAATTCTTGAACATGAGGTTCATTAAAACAGTTGAAACTCGAGTTTCATTTCTGCAACATGATTTGGCAAAAAATATTTTCGTAACAGTTCATTTTTACTTCCTTGTACGAAGTAAAAAGGAAGTATTGTAATCGCGAAAAGTTTCAGGCAGCATATTTCAACGAAAATATTCATTTTTGACCGCTATCGAATGCAATTTAACGATGTTTTTGTGTGACATCTATACATAAGGACAGAATAAAAGCCTCTTTTCCACAATATATAATATAACTGCATTAAAATGAATTCTGAAGATAATTAATTTTGTGATGTCCGTACGTATCTCGCATAAACATTGAAATTTTGTATATAGGACTGCTATGACATGTAGATGTGCATCTCGTATTTTGGTTGCAATCGGCCGCACCAAACGTATATAAATATATATTCACTCTGTTACCCAGCTCAGTGATCTCAGTTTCTTTACTCTTATAAGTTTGTAAATTGTGCATTTTTTGCTTTAAAAATAATTGAATTATGTTGTTTTTATCTTCCGGTTAAGGTTTTTATGACGGTTAAGGCTTTAGGTTATTACCATTTCTAACCATGAGATTCGGTCGAAATCTTGCTCCCAAGCGGAACTCGTTTGCGCGCATTGTGAAGCACGACTCGATTCCGAGCTGAACTCGTTCATAACCATCAAAGGGTTAATGAGTGCTCCTGTTAGACATCAATAAAGCTAATCAGCCTTTATGAAGATGAGTTACAAAGTTTTCTAGGTTAAGATTCAAAGTATTCAAATGGTGAAAAAAGGACGAATTTTTGCATCTAAAAAGATTTGAAAATTCAAATGTCCTATCCCTAAGTACTTTGAAAATGCTGCTGTTGTAAATAAAATTATTATATTTTCAGAATTTCTTTTATGTTAAAATGAATAAATAATTTATTTGTTCTGTGGAAAAAAAAATTAAAAGCATTTATTAAAATAGATATTTATAATCTTGTTGTTGCTAAGTGTCTGAAAAATATCTGCTACTTTTTCAAAAAGGATATAGTTAAATAATGCATCCCTATGAAAGTATTCTTGTATCGCTTCACTTCCCTTAAAATGATTTTATCTGTATTTAAAAATATGTCAAATTTTTACTTTACAGTATGATACGAATATTTATGTGAAATTTCATCATTTTTGGTGACAAAGTGCATTTTCTAGTCAGATTGACATCAGACAGAAGCAATGACATAATAAATAATCTTGCTTTTTCTTTAAACTTCATGTACTTTTGTTTGAAGAGAACGAAGGGTACGACGCATTTATGTTCTTTATATCTATTTTATATTAGTAGTCTTGTCACTCACATATCGTAGTATGTGCTATCATTCTTCAATCCTTGTCATTTTTTTATTTAAAGTTATCAAAAATTTGTCTATTTAAATTATTTATGTATGAGATAGAGGCAAAATATGAAATAAAATTATATTTTTCTTGGAAATTGTTTATTTTTTTTAATGAAGCTTTATTACTCGTACAAAATTGTCCCATAGACTGCTTTTTAATCTTTCATAATTATGCCCTGAAATAAACATGTGTTATTTTAAAATGGAAGGTCCGGCAAAAGTAACGCATAGTTTTATGTAGTGTAGTCATATGAAACAGAGGCGGCTCCAAGCATAGGCAGCATAAACGTTATTTTTTTATTCACCTAAAAAAAATTGACACGTTAGGTTATATTGCCGCTATCACTATGGCTTTGAAAATCCTAATATGCATGCATTATGTTATAATAGATTCTGAATCGCTTTCAAACGAAATATGTCAGTGACATTTAGAAGCGATTCTGATAATGGACAGTCGAATCTTAATCTGCATCGACAGCTGTCCCAAACACAGAGTCTCGGACGTAATAAATCCAGTTATAAAATTCACATCCTCTATGTCTGTCTGTTCACAAATTTTTTTTTAGACGATTTTCATTGTATTTACAGGAATATTTTACTTAAAATTTTTATGTTTAAAATGCTCTATTTGATAACCCCTATTCTTCACTATGTTTTTACATCGTTATTTCGAAGACAGTCTTTTGTTGTAACGGAAGAAGTATTTTATCCGATTCCTCTTCAACAGCTTTCCAAAGACCAAGAAGGATAGTAGGTCGACGTTTGGACAATTCGCTTTTTAAAAGTACAAAAGCGAAAAATACATTGCTGATAAATCTGAAGTTTTAGTAGAGATTTATGAGTGAAGGCGGCCTTGATACCTTTCCTTCTTCCATTTTCACCAGGAAATTAATAGCAGATTTTGATTTTGCCGCCGCTTGCTTCGTTTTGATGGAGTTCTACTGATTGATCACACTGTGTGTAAAGAGAACATATTTCATATTTAAAAATTGGATATTAAATACGTTTTAGATAATATGTGGAGTTGATTTTAACATTTTTCTACACTCTATTTTTAATTTGTCGCAATATGAAAAACCATGCAACAATCAAATATGCAATAAATCCCTTAGAAAAACTTTGTTTAGATCCTTTGAACCGTATTTTAAGACTTTTTCCTTCTCTCTGATTTTAACAAGTGGATCTCATTTTATTCCAGTCGTTTAAATCCACCCAAGATTCATCTACTGTGACAGTATTTTTTTCCATTTTTTGTCTGGACAAATCTTTCTTATGAAGAATTTTGCAGCGCGTTCTGGTTCAGCCTTCGGCGGTATGTTATGGAGAAAGACGATGTACATTGTTTTCCCGCCTTTTCAAGATTCAAATCAGCATTAATCACTTTGTTTATGCATGCTGAGTTCTCCAGTAGGTCAATTAAGAAGATTCAAAAGACAAACTGTGGCTTTGTGGTATCGTGCGCCTCTCCATGTGAGAGGTTCGAATCCCAGCTTTTTTAATTTCGTGGAATAATAAAATGGTTAAATGATGTTGTTGGTATAATAAAAAATGGAATCAATTTAAAATGAGTCAATATTAAATAATGAGATGTTCAATTAAAATTAAAGAAATATTAAATAATAAAAAAGGAAAATTAATTAAAAGTAATGTCATTCCAAACACGTGTTTCAAGAGGTTGATGCCACAAAGCGGAAAAAAATTAGTCGTCACAAAAATAAAACTTTGGAAAACTATTGTCATTGCCACCCCCTCCCCCCCTCAAAAAAAACTATCGTGTATGACGTCATTCAAACACTCTTCGTCACTTCCGGAACAGGAATGCAAACATGAAATTAGTTTAAACCGATAAAAGCTCTGCATATTTGGAGCCGACGTAAGCAGTTACTAAAGAAAAACGAACAAGTGAATAATTAGCGCCGCGTCACTCTCACCAGCCGAGCGGTAAAGTCGTTGAACACTGGTAGTTCGAATCACGGCGAACGGGCTGGCTGCGTGGACGTTTTCATGGTTTTCCCATGTGTAACTTGTATATGAGTCAATTTCTCTTAGAGAGTCTTTCACGAAGACATTCCTTCCCTTAGCCAGATGGCCCTCGAGTGTTTTCCCATAGTCAAATATAAACCAAGCTCGCCGCCCGCGTACGTTCACTCCCTTTCAGCAAAAGGACAGACCTAGCGAGGATCGCTGTTTGCAAGGAAAACAGTTTTCAAAGTGGTTCAGGAGGTAAGTAGTACCTAAATTCCTCAAATAATATCTTGACTCATATTTTTTTGCCCCCATATTTTCTTATACTATAGGTTTGTCATCGCTGTCTTAAACGATTGAAATTTACGCTTGATGCCAAATTAGTACTGTTCTCTGATGTTTTTTAAGCGAAAACAGGTGACTGTGTACATTTCTTGAAAAAGTAAATGTTTTATCACGGATATTTCTTGTCTTTTTATTCTCATTTAAGTTCCTATAAGTGAACTCTCAGTTTCAAAATAGCTGCTGTTTTACGCTTATTAGCTTGGCAAAAATTAGTCGCCAACAAGTTCGGCAACATTTAAAAGGGAAGTGTGAATAATCAGAATGTACCAATTAAAATATGCATTTTCGAATTCCAGCAAACTTTTTCCACTGTTTTTCATTACGTTTATGAATATATTTTACAATTTTAATAATGTGTTAAATTATCGATTTTATTACTTTATAGTTTTACTTCAATGGAGCATAATGTGTTAGTTTCATTACAATTTAATGGAAACAGGCTTATGCTTTTTGTTTTCTGTTGGGAAAGATAATTTCTTAATTTTTGTACAATGAAAATATAAACAAGATAGTATGCATAGTTTTGGTCCTCGGGTAGGTAAAAAATAAATGCATTGATTTCTTTTGTCGGAAATGTTTGCTTCGTGTTTTATTTTAAAATATTTAAAAACAAAATTTTTATTTTGTTTTAAATATATTCGGGTTAGTTATTGCTTTTTTAGGCGAAGTAAAATGAAGCCTACTAATTTATTTATCAAATTTTTCTTCATTAAATACGGTTATAATACAATGCAAATATGTTACAGTGCAGATTTTACTCTGTAAAAGTGTGATACAATCTTTCCTTTTTAAAGCATATTTTGGTCGAAAAAAAATACGCGATAAACTAATATATAATGTATTTTAAAATACTTTATTGCGCTTTTAACGGACTTCATTTTTATTTCGCACTTTCTTTTTAATTCTTTCAAGAATTCACAATCATCCAGATAAAAATCAGAAACGTCGCTCTCTTGAAAATTTTTCGGTTGCTCCTTGCAGAAAACCAAGGAAATTTCAACAGTTTGTTATATTATTAATTATATTAATTTTATTTTGTTATTTTATTGAGTTGTTTTTATTTCAGTTTTAAAATATACATTTCCTGATTATTATTATTTTTTTTTTAATTCGAAACGGTACTTACTTTAAAAACATGACTCGTCGTATCTATACATAAATATATTTGCCTTGCATTTCAATAAATACACATTTTGTCTACAGAAGAAGGAATTATGCGGAGCGAGTTATTCAGAGGGTGTGGTCGCAGTTAATTTGAATATTTGGAGTATTTTTCTAAGCTGAGCTAGCAATCATAGATCTAAAAAATATAGCAATTTTGAAGCTGTCAATTTTTTTCTTCCTGGATAGGAAAATAAATGGCCAAGTAGATCAACTTAAATATATTAATCATATTAAACATTTCAGCATCTGTTTCTCGCGGTAGAGCATTTTTTTAAACCGTCTGCATACGTAATGTAAAGAGATCTGTTGCCGATGCGAATGAAGCGCATTGCTTACTTTA